AATAACAATAAAAAAAAATTAAAAAAAAAAAAAAAAAAAAAAAGACCCCATTAGGCTGACTTTGTGGTCTGCTGAGAAACAAAGTGATCAACACGCTGTTCCCAAAGTGTCTCTTTTAGTGCAATGTTAGTATGTGCAAGGGGAATCACAGCCACGTACCCATAACACCACCACGAGCCAGATGGGGCAGAGAGAAAGTGCAATTTTAGCTAGAAATTTTCTATGCCATGGATTCCTAGCCCAACCTTCACTAGCACCAGTAGGCAAGAGTCCTCCTAACACCACCTTCCATCAGTACAGGGGAAATGGGCTTTAATTGTGCCATCAGAATATGTGAAACATCAGCCAACAGAACACTTCAGCCATAACAAGAACACCCAAAATATAAAAAAAAAAAAAAAAAAAATTAAAAATTCGCTGCTTACATAACAGAGCTCCCTTGCTCTGCTTTAAAATTTTCTGATGCCAATCCAACATTCCTGGCACGGACCACTGCCAGTAAAACATATAGCAGAAACTAAACCTCCCAATTAAAGGAACAGGGATAGCCTGCAAGTGCCTCATTCCCTAACCTTAYCCTGCTGGTTTTGGGATCAGCTGAGAAGTGACACCAGAGGTTACAGGTGAGCTGAATCACATCGGGACTCTGATTTGAAAACAGCGAAGCCAAAATTATCTGGACAATGGCAGGGAGCAGTTTAAATATTATCATCATGATGGGAATGTGCAGCATCACATTCACTTTGTAATTTGTGYTCAAGTGATGAAAATAATTTTTCTCTTCTGATTCCCAGTGAGCCAGCTACTGATCAAATTGCCTGTTATGTCTCAAAGAGAGGGGCTGCAGGGAAAACAATACAACACTTCCACAAGTGATCAAAATCTGTTGCTTTTCAATTAAAAAAAAATTTAAATACCCCAAACCCTAAATGAAAAACCAGCCTTCTACAGCTTCCTTCTCTTGAACAGTCAGGGGATACATGGACAGAAATTAACCCAGCAGTATCTTACAGCTCTTATGTGAGCATCCCCCAACAAGGTCAAGAACTACAGCATTTCTCTGCCAGCAGTTACTGCTTTTGCTGGTGGCTTCTCCTGGTGACCATCTCAGGGAGGGGTCATGAAATCACACTAAATACCTGCAAAGAACCTGTGCCCATCCTCCCACCACGCTGCAGGACTGAAGTGCAGCAGTGCTCAGCTCTCAGGCAAGTGGAGACAGGAGCCTGTAGATCATGGTTTGTTTAGTGTTCTGCTAAAAAAAAAAAAGAACAACAATAAAAAATTTCCAGGATAATAATTTCTAATTACAGACCTAAAAAAAAGGTACCCAAATGAAACATAGAACAATGTCTAGAAATCTCATGGCAGGGTCTGCTGACTTCAAWGAATAAAGAAACTCAGTTCCTTGCACCAGGAGAATCTGCAGACCTTTCCATGAGCAATCCAGGGCCAGCACAARTCAGGGTTTCGGGTTATTAAGCAATTGGATTGTGCCCTTAATCTAAGCAGCCTCAGAGACATAAGTAACAAGATTCACATGGATTAAAATTGATGRTTTCTGCTGTGCCTGCCAAGCCCAAGCTCAGGCACAACGGATGGAGGTGGAGAATTTCATTTCCCTTCCTTACTGATGCTGGCTACATCACCTCGATCTTACACCCCTTTCAAGTCAAGATAGTCATCTTTGATTAGATGATGATAAATATTCACACACTGTGTAGAATTGTGGTGACACTTCCTCTTAACACCACAAGAGCTGCTGTTGGGACTGTCAAGCCACCTCTCAATTTTTCCTTTCAGTTTTGGATGCAAACACATTTCCAATGTCCTGCACCAAAACCCGAGTCTGTTTGGAGATGGCACCTGTTTCTCCTCCTCAGCAGAGAAACAGAAAACCACAGAGCTAAACCCTCAAAAGTCTTCAGCTTATATTTTTATGGAGATTTCAAGTCAACTAAAAAATGCAGATAAYAAGGAATGTAGGAGTTAGAAAGGGAACTCGATCATTTTTGGATTTATTTYTTGTCTCCAAATCTTACCCTCCCCACGCAATGGTGTTTGCCAGCCCCATCACCATGTCCAAGGGGAGTCTGCATGGAACCACTTTTTAAAATTCCTCCGACCCAAAAGAAAGAAAACTCCTGCTGTGCTTGTATGAATGCGTGGAGACAAAGCTCAAAAACCTCAGCAGCTTCCAACCCTCAAGGCTGGTTTTTCTGTGTACACCGGGAAATTCTCCCTCTAGCTCACAAGACTTCTTTTCAATTTTTCTGGAAAACTGGCTGAATACAATCCAAGTGCAAARTATTCAGCTAGTGCATCAAAACACGGTTTGAAGGGACCAGTTCATACCATAGTCCTTATGCATTCCTGTAGATGGAGCGGGGATCACTCTTCCAATCAGCCATAGGCCCTTAAGTGTACACCAAAAATCCCACAGAAAATCACCTTGAATGGGCAAACTACACTTCCAACGTATTTATATAGCAAGTAGTTAGTAAAAGTGTACATTTTTAATGTACATCTTAATGCAATAAAGAATCAATGGCATATTTGAACTGTATATATGTGTAGTTAAATAAACCTGCATGTACATAGACACTACAGAGTAAATTGACCTACCTGTATTTGTTCTCTGAAGGTGACACTGTACACACATCCATACTCTTGGGCTGCACGACTCCCAGCTCTGCTTTCAGCTCTAGACCCACCCAGAGTCTCCCAAGCTCTCTGATATTTTGGGGTGCACAGGATTGCACCCATGAAGGTGAACCCCTGGGGCCTCTGGCTGTCTTTGTAGAGCAGGTGCCCAGGCCCCAAGGAGAGCCACAGGGATGTCACCAGCTGAGCCATCACTAGCTGAGATGGGATAGCTGCTGGCTATGCCAACTGTGCCATGACCATCAACAGCCCCWCCAAAGAGAAATTTAGGGAGCCTGGTGCAACACAGGCTGCTCTGGGTGGGTGCCACCCCTGCTCACAGCATGGTGGGATGGTTGGTCCGACTGTTGCAGGATGCATGGTGTGCATGACCACATCCAAGGTGTCACCCTGCTCCTTATGGGGTGCAGGTCACCTCCATCTGGAGCAGGTGGTCACACTTGGCCACAGTCCCACACAGGGAAGCCCTGTGAGCCCAGGCACAGGCACCCAGCAAGTCCCACTAGGCAGGGGCAAGCCTCTCTGCCAACGCACTGAGCAGCCACAGCCCCTTCCAGCAGCTGAACAAGGTGGCCTCTTGAAGAGGGGGCAAAGAAAGGATTGCAAAAGCAAGGGCAATTAAAGGTAGAAATCAGACACCATCTTTGGAAGAGGTTCTGAAAGAGCTTTTTTGTTTTTAAACCAGATTTTTTGTAAATCTCTGGATCTGATCCTTTGGGGTTTGCTACCCACCCTCCTAATAAATATCATTTACCACCAACAATAAAGTCTCCCACATTAAAAAGCTCTCACTAAATAAAAACCTTCTACTGAAAAGGCTTGGCTGAGTTGGCTTGGCAAAAATAAGGAGCTATGACTACTCTCCATAAATACATCAGCAGATAAACACCAAAAACTATTTAAGTTAAAGGACAATGTTGGCTCCAAAACAAACCAGGAATGAACCAGCCACGAATTAACTCAAACKAGAAATTTAAATAAAGTTTCTAACCACTCAAAGGCAGTCAATTTCTGGAATAGCCTTCCAAGAGCAAAAGTGAAGGCAAAACATGGAACCAATTTGGAGTTGGGATTTGATTAGTTTGTGACAGAATGATCTGACACAGCATTTGGCTGGACTATTCCGCTCAAGAGTTTCCCTTCTAGATTTGTTTTCTGTGAGAAAAAAATATTTAAAGCTAAAATGTTCAAGCAGTTGCATCACACAGCAACCACCCAAGACAACACACATTAAAAACGCTACAGGTACCAGGCAGCACGCAGGATAACTGGGAAATTTATTTTGCTCTTTTGCCAGAACTATTGCACATGGCCTGGGAAAAAAATGGAAAAAAAAATAAGGAAAAAAAAAAATTGGAACAAACACTTGAAATCACCAGCAGTGCTGCAGGAGGATCTGCCTTGTAGGGCTGCAAGAAGGAAACTTCCCGATGGCAGCAGAGCTGCTGCCTTGGAGACAACAATGACTTGAACCACTCACAGCCACGCTGTGACTCTCCGCGTTTGTTCTCTGAAGAACAGACTGTTCTCTCCAAACAATGAAAAGGATTCCAGGTCAGGATGCAAAAATTATTATGTGCTAGTTCTCAGTGATTAAAGAGAGACTTGGAGATTTAACAGCCTGTTACAGTCAGTCTCCAGGAGCACAGGGGAAAAGTATTCTAGCCAGCAGGGGACAAATGACACCAAACTCCTTCTCCTGGGCTGCCCAGATCTGGGAACCTGCTGCTTATCAGAGAGTATGCAATGCTGACTCTAACCTCATCTGGAGGGATGAGAATCTCAGTCAAATTCAAGACTGGCAGTTTTCTTCTCAAATCCCTTCCCTTTCCTAACACACTCACACTTGTGTGCCCACAAAGCCCTTCACTTGCTGGGCTTAAYGACCAGAAAGGGCAGAGAGGATATATGCAACCATGCCAACCTTTAGAGAACAAACACCTTAACGGACAGATGAAAAAAAAAAAAAAGAAAAAAGAAACAAGTTACTATGCCATGATAGTCCATATCTAAGCAATGACCTTGTTTACACAATGTCTGAGATTTGTTATGCTTGTATAGGCAGCTGTAGGCATCGGTATATGAATATGAAATCTGAAAGTCTGTCACTGGAAAGCAAACAGGAGCATCCTATTTCCTGGGTGCGAGCTGAGCCCCGCCTCCACCAGCTCCCAGCCATCTCCTCGGCTGGGCCACTGAGAGCTTGGCACCRAGTGCCCAGTTTTTGCACAAGTGCTGTCTCGTGTGCTGTGCTCAAAGGTCTCATGTATGGCAGTGCTTCATCACCATGTCCTGCTCCTCAGGTTGGGATCAGGCCGGYCCATGGGCTTCTTAAAGATCACTAATTTCTTCTCAAGGGTAAGAGCGGATCCTCCGGGGCTGGTGGTTTGAGTTCAGTCTGTTTCTGAAAGAGAACAGAGGTGTCAGAGATGYTCCTGGCCTTGCTCCAGGTGGGCTGGGTGGAGAGGAGGGATGCAGGAGTGCCTCAGGATATGCAAAATCAGGAGCCTTGACAGAGYTGGCTACAAAGAAAGGTCAGCACCATTCAGAGTGGCCAGGAAACCCAAAATCCTTGAGGGAGATTTGCAGTTGGCTTTGCATCCCTAAGGAGCGATACACCCTTGCTAAGCACCTGCTGCCTCTGTGTCACGAGAGTCAACACGACCCCTCACTGTGGGTGCCATAAAGCCATGCTCAGAGGGCCCTAGCAGAGGCACAGCCACCTCCCCAGCACAGGCACAAAAGCTGGACCCCACCAGTCCCCAAACCTAGCAAAGAACACAGAGTGACACCCAGACCCCTCAGCTGCAGCAAGGGCATCCTCCGCTTCCTCCAAATTAGATGGGAAGGGAAGCAATGAATTTTACTTGATTTTCAGAATTATTTTTAAGGTCTGCAGCCGTGGCAGAAGTGTGTGAGAAGCTCCAATGCAAGGCAGTGAGACTGCAGAAGATCCCGGCTGGCCAGCAAGGGGCTGCGTGCGTGGATCACCGTGGGACAGGGCCAGCACTCGGCCATCCTCATCTGCTGGGAGCCCTGCCAGGGAGGAAGCAGCCCCCAGCTGCACTGCAGACAAGCCCACAGAGGGCTTGGAAAGCACCTCTCCTCTCCTCCACACACACATGCACACACARACACAGCATTCCAAAAGCGAGTCCTRGAGACTCCATGTCTCCTCCCTCCTTTGCAGCCTCCATCTTCACCACCTGAGCCTCGCTCCATGCCAAGCAACGATATTCACACCTGGAAAGCTGGCAACAGGAGAGGGAAGGACAGGCAATGGGTCTGTCTGCTGCTAGAGAGAGACCAGGTGGGGACATGGAAGGAGCCAGTGGCATAAGACAAGCAGCCAGGCCCTTCTCTGCCCAAATAAATCATTCCATGGGCCATCTTCCCACAGGGCAGGTAAAAGGACTGGACACTCCTGCTGGTTTATTCCAGCTTGAAATAAACCTAGCATTTGGCTTCTGAGTGGTGCCAGCACGCAATGGCTGAGGCAGGAAGAGGCAGGCAGGCAGCGGCACTTGTGTCATCCTGCCAGACCCTCCTCACCCTCCTTCCCTTACAGACGGCCCCTCACCACTTCCTCCGTTAAACCTCAAACACAACCCCCTCGGCTGAACCTGTTTCCCAAACAGGAGAGGCCCAGCGCCCCCGTTCCACCCCAAGCCCTCCCACGCCGAGGCGGGGGCCTTACCCAGCCGTGTGGCGGGCGGTGGGCCGGGGGCGTCGGGGGTCCCGGCGCTGCCCTCCCGGCCGCCCGGCTCCCACGCCTCGCTGCTCTCCGACGCCTCCGCGCCGGCTTCGCACGGCCCTTTCCGGCTGCCGGCCGCCTCGGGGCCGGAGCCCCTGCCCTCCTCCTCCGCCTTCACCGCAAACCACACCTTGAGCTGCTGGGCGCCCAGGCGGGCGCGCTCGCACAGGCCGGGCACGTCCTCCTCCCGCAGCCCCTTGTGCYTCTCGTAGTAGTCCTCAAGCACCTCCCGGCCGGCGGGGCTGACCTCCACCAGCCCCGGGGGGAACACCCCTCGCCGGTAGTTCTCATACCACTTCAGCTGCCCGTTCTTGTAGCCATAGCGGCTGTCCCCGAACCAGCGAATGACCTCGGCCCGCGGCAGGCCCGTCTGGGACACGATGGCGTCATACTCCTGGTTCGTGGGGCGCTGGGTCTGCACGAACATTTGCTTCAGCAGATGCCGCTGCTCGGCCGTTTTTTTGAAGTTCAGTTTGGTTTTGGGAGGGGAGGGCGGCCGGCTGGAGCTGCCGTCCCCCTTCTCAATTGCGCCGGTCCCCGGTACCTCGTTTTTGCCGTTGGACTCGGTCACTCGCAGGTTTTTCAGGTTGATTTTGATGGGACTCACCTTCCGCTCCGCTGAGTTCGGGTTGTTGCCGGAGGCGTCRACTGAGCCGTTTTCACTCGTGGCCCTCTGCTCGTCCGAGGAGTCTTCCCCTTCCCTGCCGCCATTCTCCGCCTCCTCCTCCTCCTGTTGAGCCGCCTCCTCCACTTTCTTATTTTCCTCCGCCACCTTCTTCTTTCTCCTCTCCGAGAACCAGCTGTCGATCTCCCTCCGTGTCATCTTCGTTTCCCCCCTCAGGCGGTTCACCTCTTCCTCCGCAGGAAGGGGATTTTGGGCAAAACTGCTCTCCAGAGCCTTCAGCTGCTCGGGCGCTCGYTCCTTGTATTTGGTCGGGGTGAAGTCGGGTGCCTGGTGCCACGACTGCCGCCGTGATGGGTGGTGAGGGGCTGGCGTGGCCGCCGCTGCCGCAGGGCTCAGCTCGGCTCCTCTGGCTGGGACGTCGAAGGTGATTTCGGGCAGGGAATCAAGAGCGCTGTCTCCAGGGAAGACGGCCCGGCCGCCTCTCACATTCCTGTAGTGGTACCTCCTGTCGCTGAACCATTTTCGGATCTCCTTGGTGGACAAGCCTGTGATCTTTGTCAGCCGCTCGACTTCAGCCTGGCCAGGGAACTGGTTTCTGCAGAAGCTGCCTTTGAGGGCTGAGAGCTGCTCGTGGGACTTCTTGTTTTTGTAGACATTGGGATCCAGGAAGGTCTGTGAGGAGATGGCAGGGCAGGCAGTGAGCAGCGACTGGGCGCTGTTGACCACCTTGACCCCGGTTGTGTTGCTGGAGCTCACGGTGCTGTGCTGTGCCGCCGGCTGTGGCTTGGGGACAGAAGTCACTGCCAAAGTGAARGAGGAGCTGGTGCCCTTCAACCCGTTTGCCATGATGGGCTGTGTGACCAGCAGCCCCCCCGTCCCCTCCGGCTGCCCCACCACATGGCCTGGTAAAGTTGCCTGGATAAGATGGGGAACAGTCCCAGGATTTGCAACGAGGGGTGTGTTCAACACTGTAATAGTGGGTTGTGGCACGGACTGAATAACTGTGTTGAACATCTTCTTCCTGGCATCTTCGATCTCCTCTGGCGACCAGCTGATGCCCTGCTTCAGCCTCTGCGCAGTGAACCAGATCTTCAGCTGCTCTTCTGGGTACTTGGTCACCACGGTCAAGTAGCAGAGCTCAGCTTTGGTGGGGTAGGGGAACTTGTTGAAAGAGTTTTTCAGGAAGCTGTTGGAGTCCATGGCGGCATTGTACGTGGGAATGCTGCTCAGTGGAATCATCACCTTGGGAAGGGACTTGGACGTGGGGAGCTGCTGATGCAACGGGGGCTGCTGCTGCAGCGACACAAGCTGTGCCACCCCCGCCTGCAGAACGGGCACGTTTCCTATGATGGAGCCATTCACTATGTGGGATGACTTTGTAGAACTTGCAGTGGGYTGGCTGACTGGCACAGACCCATTTGGGAACGAATGCTCTCCATCCTTCCCCTCTGACTCACCGCCCAACTGACTCGACACATTCTCCTTCAGCATGTGGATTTTTTTGGCCTCCTGYTTACCCTTCATTATCTTCATGATGGGGGTTTTGGTAATGATAATTTCRGACTGGCCATCTGCCCCTTCTTCAGGGCCCTCTCCCGGCAGGTCCTGGCTGCTGGTGACCTCACAGAGACTTTGCTCCACGGTCGTACGGCTGTCCTGCTTCACCACCCTCCAGACGAAGCTCGTCTCGCCGGCGTGCGACTCCGCGTTGTGGTGCGAGAGCCCTTCGTGGCTGTTGGCCAGGAAGCCACACCCGACACACGCGAACGCRGGATCTTTGCTGAAGTCTGAATGCTCAGTGTCCAAGTGCCCAAAGAACTGGTGAAGGTCCTGAGACCCGAAGTCACAAGGCTTGCAGATATAAATGTCACCGTCGGCAATGCTGCGGTGCCCGTTGGACAAAGCTCCATTATTGCTGTTGCTGGCCCCAGCATCACTGGCTGCTGGTCCTTCTGCAGGAGCCTCTTGTTGTGTTCCTTCACKATCATCTTCTCCAGGGTCCTGTTCAGTCTCCTGAAGCACCAGTGTTTTTACTGGTATCATGCAGGGAGTTGTGGATTTCCTTTTGCTAGCCATGGCTACAGTTGATCCAGAGGACTATTTTTCTTTCATTTAAATTAAATTCAAATTTAGAAAGCGCTATTGCAAGTGCTCTGTGGTCCAGAATCCAGCAAATTCATGATGTTCCAAGGAGTTGTCAAATGTTGACAAATGTTCATATTTGCCACTGAACCTGAGGATAAGGAGAGGGAGGAGGGATTAGTTCCCTTGGTATTGGACAAAGCCCTGGTATTTAACTGCTTCACTCAATAAATAATTTTTCCTCTTTCATTGGAAAAATCTAATTTGACCTTGGATTTATTGTATTTTCACACCTAYAACCTGTGAATTATCTGTTTAAAAACAAACACACAAACATGCCACTTTTACAGCATGCATCAAATTCTCATTTGAGGAGGAAAACCACTGAATTTTCCCCTCATCCTTCCCTGTCAAGACCCATCCTTGGTGTTTCAGCAGGGAGTGCAGTGCCCGAGTTCCCTGTGTGCCTCACACCGGAGGTGATACCAGCCAGGGTCACCTGGGAAAGCCGCCTGCTTTCCACCACAAAAAAAAAAAAGATGAAAAATCCACACATCCCCCACAGAATATTTCAATTTCTTCAAAATCAGCATTTTCCATCCATCCCATTTCTTGCCAGCTCAGAGCACTGTGCTGTGCCAAGAGTCTCTGCAGACACCCAGAGCTGCTGCTGGGAGCAAGGAGGCTGCAGTATTTTAGCCCTCCTTGCTCAGCAAGCCTGCAAAGCATTTGGGAGATGCCCTTCCCATCCTGTGCACAGTTCATTACCATTTCAACAGCAGYTCTGAGTCTTCATTTGGAGCTGAGAGAGAAGGTAAAGGCCCCAAAGCTCAAGAGCAGCATCACAATGTTCCTGGCTCCCAGCCTCCCCCTCCCACCACCTCCGCAGCTTTTGGCAGTCACACCGCCCCAACGCACTGGGGTATTCCCTAACAAAGTGTAACTTCTCATCAAGGCAAGCCCATCTTGCTGSGCTTGGGGTAACCAGAGATTTGTTACATTTAAAACCAAAACCGAACAAAAATAAACAAAACCCAAACAACCCACAAACAATAACTTTTTCTGTATTTCTTTTTCCCCTCTGAAGCTAAAGCAGAGCCTGAAGTGCTCCAGCCTGTGGAAGGCCAGGGTTGGCTGGGGTATTAGGCACAACCTTATTCCTGGCCTGGTGCAGCTTTCCACGTGCACAGCAAATGCTCYATGCCTGACATCGTCACCCCAGGGCAGTAAAACTGCTGTAGGTGGCACCAGGCAACACCTGCCTGGTGACACTTCTCTGTCAGCCTTTCCTACAGCAACTCTGCTTTTCTTTCTCTTCAAAAGAGGGATAAAATGGTATTTTTCCAGACTGCAAGGTCACTTGGAAGCATATGGACACACTGATTCATATTACAAAGACTCTGTGCCAGATTTCCCTGGGATTTACAGTAACAGCAACTGAGCTTTAGAAAAACACTAAAAAAAAATAAAAAAAAAAAAAAAAAAAAAAAAAAAAAAAGGGAAGACTTACCATCCTATGAGATGAGTCACAGAGGTAACTCCTATCAGTTACAGCAGTTGTGCACCGGCAGCTTTCTCAGATCAGATATTTGGAGCTGATCTCATGCACTGAGAAATGCAGATCAGGCAAATGCCTTGGTGGTGCTTATGCAATACCTCCTGTGCTTAGTTTTGTTGGTAGTTTTTTAGAACAGAGGAATGAAAGATCCTCATGCAAAAAACGGAAAAAAAAACTCAAATGGAGGAAGTTCAATTTCAAATGACCTCCCTAACTTTATTAGATTTTTTTTAAAGCTTGTTCTGAAAGCTGACATCATTTTTTCCAAACGGGAGAGCCTGGATGGCTGGCTCTGGCCTCAGCAACTCTCAGGCACCGTTTGAAAGACTGACGGGAAAACGTAACTTCCCGTTAATGTGGGCTGATCTGAGATTACAAAACAGTCCTGTAAATAGTGTTAGTCATCACTGAACTTGGCATCAGAAAAAAGTGCTTGCTATGCTGAAGCATCATGAAGAGCTAGAAATTATAACTTTAAAAAAAAAAAATCTATAAATAAACCAGGTATTAAGGCTGTGAGTTGGGTTTAGACTGTGTGGATTGCACATCTCAATACCTGCTTTATGCCACTCTCATCCCACCTTCTTGTGGTTAGTCCAGCCCTCTGCAGAGGGCCAGAAAGTTATTCATTAGCATTAGCAAGTGGAATATTTGGATGACTATGAATGGGCTGTGCTATTCAGAGGGGAACAGCATCCATTTGACACCAATCCCAAGATCCTCATTTTTGATGCTAAGTTAAATATTACACAGTCTAGCAGGGTGCAATGACCTTTCCAAGACAAGTCAATTAGGGAATAAACAGTAAGATCAGCCTGAAGGCTACAAAATACTGCTTTAAAGGCTGAGAGGAGATTCATGTCATGGAAGCAATGGTAAAAGGGAACACTTAATTCATTTTATCCTGCAACTTTGACACAGGGAGAAGCCACTGGGCCCTCTGCAAGYTTTTTCCTTTCCAGCAAACTCCAGAGATCCAGCTCCAGAGTCTCCATCACTGAGCCAGCTCCAGTCCCTGACAGATCTGACCCAGTATTTATGGAGTTTCCAGATAGCAAAAAGATGATTTTTATCTGCCAACAGAGTAGATTTGATACAAAGCAACGGCAACACACAAAGACCCCCATTGTGCCATGTTAACAAAGTGCCTCTTCCGAGCACTCCATCGCTATTATTTTGGGTAAATGTGAATGGTCTGACCCACCTACAGAGAACCTAAAAGCTCTGCATTTCATTTACCAGCACATTTGCATCAAACTCTGTGATCTCTCCAACAACTTTCCTTAAAAATGCAATCAAAGGAGCCCCAGCCGCCACAGCTCTCCTGCAGGGCTCCAATATTAATGCCACCTGAGAACACAGATTGCAAATTTTAGCTGGAAGTGAATCACGGCGGCAATTTACTGGGGAAAAAAAATTAATCAAACATACTGTTTGTCCATTTCATTTCCATGGAACAGTTGCATAACCACATGTTGGGAGCGTGTTTTATTCACTACTCACCTTCTGGAATGCACTTAATACTTTAATACACCATTAATATATAAAAGAATGAATAATTCACCRATTTTCCCCTCATTTAAGTAAGAGAGGCTGTTCTAATGGACAGGGTAAATTAATGGCAGAAAAATKAATCAATTTTTACRATTGATTTACAATTGATCTCAATRTATATACCACCACTGCAGATGCCTCAGACCCATCTGCACAGCCATGAGTGAAGAACTCCTTGCTCCAGTTCATCACAAAATAATACATAGGAAAYAGAGACATTAGCAGAACAGAAGAGTTACCTGGCAGCCAGGAAGATAAAGTTATCATACCTAAAATCACAGTTCCTATTTCATTTACAGCTGCTGATTTCATAGCTAGGTAGYAGAGAAAGCAGGACAAATGTCCAGTGCACCTAAACCATCCCTGCTGCTGGAAATTTGAGAGAAAACTGACTCAAAGCAGAGTCTAATCAACTCTGTGCCAGTGATGCTCACAGAGAAACTAATGCTGGAGGGAAAKGTTGCAGCTCCAGGTACACAACCAACCCTCTGCAGAGCAGCTTTGCCTCCACTGAGGGAAACAATGCCCAGACTGGTCACAGTGAGCTCTGCAATAGCAGAAAATTTACTTCTGCAGAGATTAACAAAGGGAGGTTTCGAAATCTGCACTGCTGAGTATGAACTTTCAGCTTTTTCCAGCTTGGCTGGATATAACTGGTTTGGTTTTAAATGTTTCACTGAATTAACGAGTTAGGTTGTTAATGCAAAACATTCACTGCGTGCAGCGCCAAGGTCCCCAGTTAGAAGATTAATTTTTTTGTGACCTTTTGCAAACCTCGCCTAGAAACAACAAYCAGAAAAACCCACCAGGCAGCAGCACCAGCCAGGACACAGCAGCTCCAGTCCCACTGGCCAGGCACAGGAATACAGGGACAGCTGCCCTCCCCTGCCCCCAGCCCCTGGGTGCCAACGCTGACACCAGGGACAGGGCTCCATGGGGACACAAAGGATGGCTACGTGCTCTGTGGGCTCTGGTGCTCTGCTGAAGAGGGAATGCTCCGTTAAAGTAAAATGACATGAATAAAAAATTAAATTTAAAAAAAAATTCAGCACCAAAATAGAAGTAAAATAACAGTTTTCTCAACACTTTCAGTGCCTGCTAGGCAGGCAGACACGCTCCCCAGGTCAGAAACAAAGTTAATGTTTCTGTCTCATATGGAGCCAAGCACAATATTGGCACTTTAAATAAAAGCGGTTTGTTTTTAAGTTGAAACTCCGCAGGCCCCAGCTGATAGCATCATATGAGGGGGAAAAGAGGAAAAAAAATCAAAGGAGTGAAGAAAAGTCGATGTTTTTGAGTTTTTGCCTCTCCCCTTCAGGCTCTACCTCCAGCCATGGTCAGAAGATGCAGTGCTGTCTTTAGGAGTTCCACATGACTTCCCAATCCCTCTGTAATTAGCAAGGTCATTAAAAAATGATCCCTGTGGCCAGCACAAGCACCCAAACCTGAAGGCTGAGCCCCCTTCCCCTTCCCAAACATCCCMCTGTGTTTGACAGCAGGTCCCACCAGCATGAGGGACACCCAGTTTCCCTGCAGCACTGGGGCCCAGCTCAGTAGCCTGCACTGGGTGCATTTACCTGGGTGCTGGGGAAGGCAGGAAAAAACACGTCCATATATGCAGGGTACAGCCCCAAGCCCACCCTGTTGCCAGCCATGGCAATCCTGGGAKTCTTCCCCTTTGTCTGGGCATTAACATTCCTTTTTCTTTTGGAGTCTGATCTTAGGAAGTCATACAGGAGTTTCACCATTTTGAATTATTAATTGCACGTCCAAGGGGGCTATTGCTAATCCATCCCAGGGACACACTATGTGGATGGACATCTCAGCAAAGAGAGGACAGATCACCTCTCCAGAGAAACTTCCAAGGTGTGGATGGGACCTCTCTGCCAGTTGTGCCAGCACGGCTCTGTGAAGAAGAAAAGGCAAGATCTGGCAGGGCTGAGCTCCTCTGTTCCCGGTGTGTGGCTGTGCATCCCAGCTTGCTGGAGTCCAGCATCCTCCCTGAGAACTCTGCAAAGGCTGCAGCTGGGAGGAAGTCACAGRATGGGAACATCTCCAGCAGCCTAAAAATGCCAGCAGCAGAGCATCACATGGTACATATCCCCATGCCATGCCCTTGCCCAGGGCTGGCACCTGGAGGTAGCATCTGCCACCCAGAGCCTGGTTCATAGCCCAGACCAAGGGTGTGACACACTTCATTCTTTGGGGTTTAACCCCATTCAGGACTGCAAGTTCCCACCAATGAGCAGTTAATGAGATGTCCCCCTCTAGAATAGGCTGGTACCACACAAACTCTGCAGGCACTCAAACCTCAGGTGATCTCAACAGGAACAAGCAGAGCCACCAGCAATACAATAACCATGGCCCCAGAGAGGCCACGCAGGCAAGAAAAGCCTCTTCACRTCTTATTATTTCACACTGCACGAATGTACAAACACACGCACAAATTTCAGCAGTTTGGAGCTTCAAGCAGCATCACAGTCAACATTTGTACTAAGGAACAATTTCTCTTTATGCCAAGTGGTCAGGGTGCTTTGTAGCTTAAGCCTGGCTTTGAAACSGCGGGTACAGTCTAAATGCAGTGGGAGCCGGTTGACCGAACAATCGTATTCATTCTCCATTCCTTGGCAGGCCCAGAGCAGAAAAGCGTCTTTTCCATTTAGACCAGTTAAACAGAGCTATTCATTAAAATTTCACCCTTCTCCAAACTKCTGGACTTCTCCATTTAAAATCTGCCTTTAAGAGAAGCCCTCTCTCCTCCACCCCACRGTGCTCTCATCTCCCTGTCTCAAGTAGTCACCCATCTCTGAGCTGTGTTTTTGGGTTGCTCTTGTGCTCCTGCARCAGCAGCACCTCGCCTGTGTGCTGGTATCTGGGCAGAGGCTGCCTCAGCACTCAGGGACTAATGGCAATTATCTCTGCTTTTTTTTTTTTTTTTTTTTTTTTTTT